GATGTAGCACTTTCTTGGAAGAGTTTAAAGCGCAAATGGATGTTCAGCATGCCGTTCAGCTTTTGTAATGTCAGGTTGGAGTCGAATGCTGTTCTTGCTTTGCATTTGCAACTTTTCTACCTTCACAAATCAATCTCAATTTCTCCCCAGTTTAGCAGCTAATATTGAAAGCACTGTTGCTTTCTGCGGCGTGCAGAGGCACATGATATAATGAAGACAGGGCTGCTCTTATCTCATGGATCTTATAACTCAAATTAGACAAACATAGTACAGTGCAACCATAAAATCATATGGGGCAGCGGTTCGCAACTGTTGGTCTGTGAACTGCTGGCTGCCGGGCCATGATGGCTGCTGGAGCTGAAGCCTGCTGTTTGCAGCAGCTCTGGTGGCCAGGGCTTTTGGCAGACAGGTAACATTTTAATAGCATATTTGCATTTTCTTTATTTGTAAAAGTTTGTGAATGGGTTTGGCAGTCTGCGTTATAAGAAAGGTTGGTAACCACTGATATGGGGCATGCACAAATCCATGCAGAGATTTGGTAGTGTGGCTCCTGAGTGTGTCTCAAAGCATATTTGGACAAAGCCCAATGTTTGAAGCAAAATGCAGGACAATGTAGCACTTTAAAGACTAACAAGATGGTTTATTAGATGATGAGCTTTCGTGGGCCAGACCCACTTCCTCAGATCAATAGCTCATCATCTAATAAACCATCTTGTTAGTCTTTAAAGTGCTACATTGTCCTGCATTTTGCTTCAAACATTGGGCTTTGTCCAAATATGCTTTTTGGGGGTGAAAAAGGAATTAAGAGAAACTGTATAGCAATATGAATTCATCACAGGCACTGAGTTTTATAGAGTTTCCATAAAACAATAGAAATGCAAACTATGCTGAGTTATAGCTCTAATTTTTAAAGTCTTTGATTTGCTAGCTATTCTTCTGGTGCAGTGAAGTGACAGTTTGTGTCTGTAGGGGATGGGTTGGATTTCCTGTGTCCAATGGACAACAAAATTCTTTCCCTGTTCCTATTCCTGTCTGTGCTGGAAGTTAAGTACCAGTAGACTCATTGGAATGGTGTGCAAACGACAGCACACTTTCCATGGCCCCTTCCTCTAAATGATTGAACAGAATTAAAACTGCTGCTGTGAGGATATTAAAAAGAAATGCACTTCACTCTCCAGTTGCATGGAAACCCATTAACATTGGAATGACATGAACACTACTTATGACCAGGACTCGCCGAACCGCGGCGAGCCCCGCTCACCAGCCGCGCTGTCTGGCAATCTGCGCATGCGCAGATTGCCCGAACCTGGCTCTTCCTGGTGCAATCTACTCACCACGGGCGAGTTTATTGTATTATTTGTTGAGCCCTGCTTATGAGTGTCCAGTGTTCACAACTTATTACAAAGTATAAGTAAGTACAAAGGTGCTTTGCTAGAAAACAAGACTCCCTCCAGTAGGGAGTAATGGTGGTTACTCTAAGGCAAAAGGGCAAGACTATTTAAATGTTAACAAGTTCATTAGAATTATGTCATCCTACCTGTATTCTAACTACAGTAAAACTCCAATAGTCCGGCATCCAATTGTACGGTACTCCTGATAGTCTGGCATCAAAATGGCAAGAGCCTAGTGAGTGAGCTTCGGCAAAAAATGAGTTACAAGGCAACAGCGGCAGCAGCTGAACCGAGCGAAAAGGGTAAAAAAGGGTTAAAAAACTAAAACGTCACAGTATACTGTATACAGTATGTACAACAAAAAGGGTTAAGAACACTTTATATACAGTATATAACGTATACAGTATTTATATACCCAGCTTTTAGTACCTCCTGATAGTCCAGCATATCCAATAATCTGGCACCACCTAGTTCCCAAATGTTCCGGATTATCGGAAGTCTACTGTATTTGCAAAATGAGCGTAACTATTTGCTCATTCATACCAAATGCTGCACTGCAATTTTTATTTTTTTAAACAAGTCAAAACATAAAGCAGGGTTACTCAACTTTGGAAGCCCCACAGTGCATGCCAAGGGCCGCAACTTAAGTGTGGTTGCATATACATGCAAATATTTATGCAAATACAGGCAGTCCCCGAGTTACGCGGATCCGACTTATGTCGGATCCGCAGTTACGAACGGGGTTTGCTGCCCGTCTCCCTGGTCTGCTGGAGACCAGCAGACCAGGGAGACGGGAAGCAAATCAACTTTGGAAGCCCCACAGTGCATGCCAAGGGCCGCAACTTAAGTGTGGTTGCATATACATGCAAATATTTATGCAAATACAGGCAGTCCCCGAGTTACGCGGATCCGACTTATGTCGGATCCGCAGTTACGAACGGGGTTTGCTGCCCGTCTCCCTGGTCTGCTGGAGACCAGCAGACCAGGGAGACGGGAAGCAAAGCCTCTGAGGAT